AATGTTGAGATTGTTAAACAATATGTCACTGTTAAAACCATGTTAGAAGATTTGGGTATGGATGAGGATGAAGATGAACCTGTTCCACTACCTAATGTTAATGCTGCTATATTAAAGAAGGTAATTCAATGGTGTATCTTCCATCGAGATGACCCTCCACCACCTGAAGATGATGAAAACAAAGAAAAAAGAACAGATGATGTTTGCTCCTGGGCTGCAGAATTTCTTAAAGTTTACCAGGGCACATTGTTTGAGTTGACTTTGGCTGACAACTACTTAGATATCAAAGGCTTGCTTGATGTAATAAACTATTAGCACTAGAAAGTTTGTTACATTTTAAATATTATTTTGTTACCATAATAATAAATACGATGAACAAGCATTTACAACATTGTTTTACTACAACTGGGGTTTCGGTTTTATATAATTTTAGTATAATAGTTCAAAATGGTTTCCCAAATGTTTAAAAAAAATGATGAGAAATAACTAATTAAAAACAAAATTAACTCTGTCCAGTTACAACCGTGCCGTAGTACAACTCACGCTAATACTATACGTACAGGATGGACATTCTAATAGTATAGCAACATGACTATAGGAAAGCAAAGTGTGATATTTACACTACAAGAAATATTCACAAGAAAAGTGAAGATCATTGAAAGAAGATACATTTGTTTCAATGTATTCATGTAAAACTCTAATTTTTTTTTTATTAAATGTTACAACTTTAACTAATTACTGTAGCTTCTAACTGTTGATTTTACTCTTCAAATAGTGTAGGCGAGATAATTTCATGTTAAAATAGCTAATTTTTGTTGATCTAAAAGCGATTCAGTTAGTGTTCGATACCTTTTATTTTTATTTTGCACGAAAAGTTTAGGACTGTTGCATTCCATTTTTTTCCAGGTACGAACAGCGGTGTATGCTTTACAAAGATTGAACAGCATTTATGCAAAATAAAAAAAAAAATCATACACTGCATAAAAACTTACTCTAAGATGTGTGTGCGTGTGCGCATATGTGCGTTTGCGTGTGTGCGTGTCTGCGATTGTACGCTTGCGTGAGTGTGCGTGTGCGCGTGTATGTGTGTGCATGTATTTATTAAGTTTTATTTCTTGTGAGCACTTTCATTGTGTACATAAATACAACAAAATGGTTGCTCAAGGAATTATCTAAAGAATAACTCTTTTGTTTTAAATGTCCATTTTCTATCTAATTAGTCAAATGTTAAATTTTAATTATTTCTGAAATTAAACAATTCCAAGTATTAAATAAAAATTGTCTGTATTGCAAAAAATTAAGCGTTATCGGCCGTTCTCACTCTTTTATTTCTTAAGTGAGATGTCATTAAAATATGCAATCGATAATATTGATATAACCCAAACTGGACATAGTTCAACTCCGCTAATTCAATATTTAGTGATACCGACATAATCATCACCCCCTCCCACACCCCATCCCCTGTGGTGTTGTGGTAGTTCACTCTAATTGAAAAGGAAACATTATATTATCAACATTTTTTTTCAATTTTTTATTTTTTTTTATTTTACTGTATTATGCTCACAACTTTTTTAAGTAAGTTAAGTTTCATTTGGAGTTCTGTTAAATTGCTTTGTAGATCTATTCTCTTCATCCTTAGAGCTTTGACAACATCTTCAACAAGATGAGGATGTGACACTAATTTCTGAGAAATGTCTAATGCCTGCTGCTCAGCTGTTGGAATAATTCTGTTACCCTTTTCACCAAAACACCACTGTTTTTCAAGTCTTAGTACATTAACTTCCTTTTCAACAGCGCTGATTTCCTGATTAGTTGCTTGTAGTTGAGCTTCTTTTAACTTGCAGCGTAGACTGTCTAGAACAGGGGTCGGCAACCTTTTGAAGCGGAAGAGCCAAAAGTTACAATTTTCAAATATTTCCCTGGTTTTAAAGAGCCACTAACATTTTTTTTTACTTCAAATATTTTATTTTTTATTAAGATTATTAGTATTTGTTCAAGGAGCTGGAGAGCCGCATCTTGATATCAAAAGAGCCGCATGCGGCTCGCGAGCCGCAGGTTGCCGACCCCTGGTCTAGAATCTAGATGGTAGGCCTATTCTACGTTTCATTAATGGGTGTCACAACAAACAAAAAAAATAAATTACCAAATAGTAAATGCTGAAAAGTGAACGTTGTTTAGTCAAGAGTTTTTTTATTTTTAATAGAAAAAAATATCTTTATTTTTCTAAGGGTACCATGAAAAAAATATTTCAAATTTTTACACATTTACAAACTTAGAATAATATATTTTAACCAACACATACATTGCAATTTATTAAATTAATAGTAAAAAAATTCTTTATTTATTATTTTAGAACAATTTAATCTACTGCAGTTGTATGCAATTTTTAAATATGAAGTTTTAAGTTGTTTCCCTTAACTTCTAAATCACAGAATCTGAAAAGAAATATATTTCTAAACTTTCTATTTTCAACAATGCAATAGGTTCTAAAACTTTAAAAAAAACCTTATAAAGTGTACAAGATTGCCTTAAAGTAGAGTTCCACTTTAAATTGGATGTTTATAAACAATAAACCTTTTAATAATGTTTCTAAATATCAGTAATGGAAGAAACATTATACATTAATCATAATTACTCTCATAACATAAAAAAAATAATGATAAGGCTTACAGTTTATGTAATGGATAAGGAAGAAATATATTTGACAAAAAATGAGTTGTGTGATATATATCTCTATTAACCTAAGCACAATAAAGATGGGCGGGTCCTTTAAGTTCATTTTTACTTCTTCTTCTCTTCTTCTTCTTCTTCGTTCTTAATTATTAGTGTTGAAGGGGATCGAGATTTATCTGCCAGTGGGCATCTATAAATAACGTCATGCTTTTTTGATGACTAACAAAAGACCAGACCCTCACCCCTAAATGACGGCATTTATTAATTATTCATAAATCTTCAATTTATTCATGTACCAATAATATAAAAATGCACTAATTATTTGTACATGGAGAAAATCCTGCTTGAAAAGTTTAAAACGAAAAAAAAATGCAAAATTATTTGAAAACGCTGACGAATTTATAACATTTTTATAGCAAAAACAAATTTGATAATTTGGTTTAAATTTAAATGGGTGTATTTTGGTAGTTTCTTCACGTGATGATGTATTGTTGGTCTCTGTTATAATTTAAAGTAGGAATCTACTTTTCTGACTTCTATTTTTTTAGTGGGGATTTGGGTCTATAATTTTTGTCTTTTGTGTCGTTTGCTTTGTCTGTGTTGGGTTTTGGTAAAGTAGGCTTTGCTGAAATATGTCGCAATTACCCTATTCCCTTTCATGTAGGCCTATATATTTTTGTGCGACGCATAGTGCCTGTCTGTAGAGTATCAACTTTAAAAGTTTGATGACATTCTTTAGTTAGTCCGTCTTGTCTAGATGCTTTACTTTAAGCCATCGATTGTTTTACCTAAGTCTTGCATGGCTAGAGGGTCGATAATTTGGTCTTGATCTTTGTCTTTTAATTTTGCTGTGGATTTTATATATTTGTCTTGGGTTTCGTTGTTGGTTTCGTCTTTATAAATGGCAGCTAATGGCAGTAATCAGTGAAGCGTGCCTGATTTTTGTCCAAGTCTGCGCCGTTGTCGTGTGTTATGATTTGTATTGGTTTAGAATGGGCGTGTATTTGCTATAATATTATGTTGTGGTGTGAGGGCTCTTCACTTCCTATTGTATATTCTCAACAACCATATATATGTGACAGGTGAAGAAACTATGTACAATACTACACCACAGAAATAAACCATATCCGGCATATATCATACACGCGACTTATGTGCTTTATGTCATAGATGATTATATACACAGGACTATTGTATTCTCTGAACTAAATATTAATACATCGCCTAAAACATATTCTATTTATTGTTTTATCTTCTGATTAACTTTCGCAAAGGATAAGCAATTTATTTTTTTTTAAGTGTAGTATACTTACATAGGCATAAAACAAAGTAGAAATATTTTATTTTTTTTTATTTTCAGCTTTACCTTGTAATCTTAGCATCTTAAATATACATATAACAAAATTATACCTATGCTGTTACAAACTATGGTTAAGTATATACATGTCACATATGTTTGTATGTGTTGCGTTTTTGTGTGTGTTTAATTATGTATACATTTTCGAACGAGGAAAAAAACACCTAAATTTGATAAAGACTCAGTCGACTGTGACCTCCTAAGGTCTTTTTGCTTTATTTATATTTAATCTCCTAAGTTATGTATTTGTCCTTGGGAGAATTGTTAGTTCACAGGTTCATATCGGTCAACTGAACTCTGTCACATCAGGTGATTGTATGTTTAATCCCTGGCAGAACCTCAGCCAATGATCTTGCGACCGTGAGTTATTTCCCCTAAAATTGAATGCTATTTAATCTCGGGATTTTCAAGTTCAAAGGCAGCCAGATTGACCTTTGGACCAGGAGAGTTGTGCCGGTGGTTATGTGTGCCACTTTTTCAGTATTGTTATTTTGTGACATGATTAACACCTTTTGTATAAGGTATTGTGTGGCAAGTTGTAGTATTTCAACTATTTTGTTCTGGTGTATTATTGCACCTTTTTGATTACTTCGGTGATAGTTTGGTCCTTTATTTGGATTTCTATTGTTGTAGAGGCAATACGTCTCTTCTTGGTTTTTTGTGGTAATTATGATGCCATTCAGTTGTGTGAAGTATTGATCTTTATTGGTGTATAATATACTAAGCCACAGCTGTGATATATTGTGATTTTCTCAAACTATAAGTTGGAGTTTTTGAGTTTATTTATTGTACTCTTAGAGTCTGTACATTTTGAACTTACCTAGTGTCATAATCTTGCACATTTATTAAAAAGGTATTGGTAGTTTAAGTCTTTTTGAGTCTCTTCGATTTGTCGTGTTTTACCCCTAGACAGCATTAACGAGCTCACGGCAAAATGTTGGGATTCCATTAGAGTGACTTCTATCGGTACCATACCAAACGAACCTGGAGTGTCCGCTCCCTCCGCGGCTGTCGGAGAGGGGTCCATAACAAGTGAGGGCTCGACCGGTATTTTGATTTATGTGCAAGTTTGGCACTAGTTTGAGTTTGTGATCTAGAGTTAGGTCAGAAGTTCGAATAAGTTGAACTAGTTCTTGAGTAGTTGTTTTTGTTATCAGTTGAAGGTAAACATTGTTACTTGTTAGCTATGGAGGCTTTGTTGTTAAGTCCTACTGTGGAAGCAGTTAAGAACTTAGGTAGGAAAGATTTGGTAACAGTTGTCAAATAGTTAAACCTGGAGTATACTGTTACGCAGACCTCTAGGGTGTTGAAGGACAAAGTTATTGTCTACTTCATTAATGAAGGTATGTTAGACGAGAGTCTCCTTTCTGAAGTTTTGGCACGGGAAGTGAAAATTGTTGATAGGGAATTAGAGGCCAGACTAAAGTTAGAAAGAGAAGTTCAGATGAAGAGGTTAGAATATGAGTTTGGTATTATTGGCAGTAGTTCGAGGTCAGGAGGTCCTTCTCAGTTGTAAATTAGTCCCTAAGTTTGATGAGTCAAATCTTGTTGTATTTTTTAATACATTTGAGAACATGGCCGAAAGTTGTCAATGGCCTAGTAACGTAGTCACAACGTTACTAAGCACTGTTTTAATTGGAAAGGCTGCCACCACATACCAGGCACTCTCTCGCGAAGTCCAGTCCGATTACAAAAAGGTCAAGGCTGCCATTCTGAAGGCTTACGAAGTAACTCCAGAAGCCTACAGAATTAAGTTCAGGAACATTAGGAAACAACTGAACCAAACCTATGTTGAGTTCCTTTTTGAAAAAGAAAAGGTCTTTTCAAGATGGCTCCATTCTGAGAATGTCGACGACTTCGACAAACTCAGAAGTCTGATACTAAGAGAAGATTTTCTCAACGCAGTACCAGAAGAGATCAGACTACACATCTTGGATAACCGAATAACAGACATCAAAAGGGCAGCAGAATCAGCTGATACCTACGAGCTGGTGCATAAGAAGTCACAGGGTTCTGGTACCAAATTCAATCCGGTACTACCTCTCATCAGCAACAATCCCCCTGCTGGCCAGTTGCTGAGATATCGTCAGTCACCACAGAAACCCAGAGTCACAGCCAGGCAACGACTGATCTGCCACTATTGTTCCAAGCCTGGGCACGTCATCAAGAACTGTTTCCTGTGACAGCGAGACAACAGAGAGTATATACGAACATCATCTCGTAACGCTCTCCCCCATCAAGCAAGTCCAAAGGTGAACCTCGCCCGTAGTGATGACACTACACCATCGTGTCCACAGGGAGATAATGAAGTGCCCACCACTTTCGTCCAGTCATCTTATGACTATCCTCTTCACCAACCGGTTACATCAGCAGCAACCAATGGTGAAGAATCGAGAACTGTTGGCTTCACGTCATTCATGACAGATGCTGTCATCAGCAACCCTGGAGATCCAGCATCATCGCGGAACATAGTTGTCCTAAGAGACACTGGGGCTTCTCAGTCACTTTTGCTGAGAGACTCATTGAACATTGCACCAGAAACCAACACCGGTGATGTCACCATCATCCAAGGAGTGGGAGCTGAACCAACCATAGTTCCACTACATAAGTTCAACCTGAGACATCAGCTCATCCAAGGAGATGTCATCCTTGGGGTGATCGACTCCATACCTGTCCCAGGAGTACACTTGCTCCTATGTAACGACTTAGCGGGAAGCAAAGTCCACCCCCAGAAAGTTCAGAACCCGTTCTCTACAGACCCCGACGGTGAAAATGAACTGTTCTTTTGGCCGAGAATGCACAACGATGACACCTGTTATTGCAGACATTGTAAGAACTGTCAATTGGTTGGGAATCCCAATCAAAATATTCCCAAGGCCGATGAAACCGATTCCTGTGCTAGACGAAGCATTTAACAAGATTACCAAGGACTGCGTCATCGACTTCCCAAACCGGAGAAAGAAACAACTGGTTTATCGTGTAAACTCACTAACTCTTTCTCCCCAGCTAAGTTTATGTTATCTATAAGAATATCTAATAAATCTGAGGATGCTACTCATGATAAGTTAAAGTCCCCTAAATTGTTAAATTCCCCATTTTTGACCCAGTTAGACCATCTTGAACATTTATCTTCTGATGAGAAACAGAAATTATCACAGGTAGTTAAAACTTTACCCTCCATTCTTAGGGATGGCTGGTTATTATAGACGTTTTTGTAAAAACTTTTCAGCTGTTGCCGCCACTGAAAAAGAAGCATTAGCTTTAGTCCTGTCCTTACAGCATTTTGATGTTTATGTCACTTCCTCAGTAAATCCAGTCATGGTATTTTCTGATCATGATCCTCTTAAGTTCACTACTAAGTTGGGCAGAATAACAACAAAATTTTGAGGTGGTGTCTATTTTTCCAAAACTTTAATCTGGTTATTTCCCATTTTAAAGGAACTAATAACATTGTAGCTGACTGTTTGTCAAGAATGTAAAACAACTTTTGATGTTCACATTGATCTTGTGAAACTTTTTTGGTTAGTTATAACCATTTTGCAAATGTTATGGTTGATTAAACTGTAGCCTAGTGGCTGGAGTTCCAAGCTTTCAATCAGATCAGAATTGTACGTTTTTTTTAAATACTGGTTACCTGTTGAAAATGCCTGTTATTTTCAAATGAACTTTATTTAAAGGTGGTTTTGTATTATGTGTATTAAGTTAGTATAAAATGTATCACATTATTCAGTTGATGTTATATTGGGAGATTTAAATAAAGGAATTAAGTTGTAAGTTTCCCACATGTTATATCCAGATGGATATGTTACTATTATCCTTGCATAAGGAGCTTTGATGTATTCTTAGTTTGGGAAGGATTATTCCCCTTTGGTAAATTGTAAAAAGGTGAATTGTTTCCCTTTAATTTTTAAGGATGTTTTTTCCTGACATAGAAATTGTGTTAGTTACTATAATTGGACATTTTTTATGTCAGATTTGTTCCATATAGTGATTGCCATTTTTGTGAAACTAAAATGCCTTTCTAAAAGGGAGGGGATGTGACCTACTTAGGTCTTTTTGCTTTATTTATATTTAATCTCCTGAGTTATGTATTTGTCCTTGGGAGAATTGTTAGTTCACAGGTTCATATCGGTCAACTGAACTCTGTCACATCAGGTGATTGTATGTTTAATCCCTGGCAGAACCTCAGCCAATGATCTTGCGACCGTGAGTTATTTCCCCTATTATTGAATGCTATTTAATCTCGGGATTTTCAAGTTCAAAGGCAGCCAGATTGACCTTTGGACCAGGAGAGTTGTGCCGGTGGTTATGTGTGCCACTTTTTCAGCATTGTTATTTTGTGACATGATTAACACCTTTTGTATAAGGTATTGTGTGGCAAGTTGTAGTATTTCAACTATTTTGTTCTGGTGTATTATTGCACCTTTTTGATTACTTCGGTAATAGTTTGGTCCTTTATTTGGATTTCTATTGTTGTAGAGGCAATACGTCTCTTCTTGGTTTTTGTGGTAATTATGATGCCATTCAGTTGTGTGAAGTATTGATCTTTATTTGTGTATAATATACTAAGCCACAGCTGTGATATATTGTGATTTTCTCAAACTGTAAGTTGGAGTTTTTGAGTTTATTTATTGTACTCTTAGAGTATGTACATTTTGAACTTACCTAGTGTCATAATCTTGCACATTTATTAAAAAGGTATTGATAGTTTAAGTCGTGTTGAGTCTCTTCGATTTGTCGTGTTTTACCCCTAGACAGCATTAACGAGCTCACGGCAAGTTGTTGGGATTCCATTAGAGTGACTTCTATCGGTACCATACCAAACGAACCTGGGGTGTCCGCTCCCTCCGCGGCTGTCAGAGAGGGGTCCATAACACGACTTACAACACACAGTATACATTTCAAATTGAATATCCGATGACAACAGGCTACTCTTACTATATGAAAAAATACGTACAGAATGTGTAGTTAACATGGTTACATTGCTAACCGTTCACGCCTCCCCTAGCACTAGTACACGTTTAAATCTGACAACTTACTTATATATAAAATGTTATGCCTGTAAGTTACAGCTTTTGCCTTGTTCTATCCCCCCGTCACCCAACCTATAACTCCTTTACAAAAAAAAAAAAAAAAACATATTCTTTTTTACAGTGAGAACACTTTAAAATTTTACAATAAAAACATCAAACGTCAATATCTAATTCTAATCATACGAATAACTTAATGTATAATTTGTGTCGTTGCTTACGACAAGCATTACATTGGTAACCGTTAGTTATTATTTTGATACTCTTAATGTTGAGAGGGCAGATAGTGAAACATCAACTACAAGGGTTAAGGTTATGTTCGTGTGTTAAAGTAAGATTGGTCTCGTAGGTTTAGTATATTGACATTCAAATTATGTATGTTTGGGCATGTGATTTAATGTCATATAATAACATAACTGCTAGAAATGTGATTTGTCGTTTATTTAAGTTATGTGTCCCCCATGATACATGAGCTATAACATATTTAAAGGTAAAAAATAAAAATAAAATAAAAAAACGTTTTAATAATAAGCTTTTATGTAATAATGCACTAAAAAGTAGAACATAAATTATACACTACTATTTAAAAAACTATAAAGAAAAGCGTGGGTTTCGTCCTAAACATTAGACAGTACTATTTAAATTACTTTAAAGAAAAGCGTGGATCACTTTAGTATCTATTGGATGCTTTACTAATATTTAGGAAGAGACCCCAGTTGTAACGATAATTAAATCTACAATGAAGTTATTCGTTACCGATAATCACGCGTTAAAAATGTTGACAAAGCAGAAACATGCAGGCAAAATGTATACGTCACTATTTGAATTTACCTAACAGTAGGGTAGTTACTTTAATGGTAGTAAACAACTAAAGGCGTCGTGAGGCGGGGGTGGGGCGGTTCGGATCGCACCGGTGACACCTAGAGTTAAAAAAGCAATTTTTAAATAAAAAATTAATAATTCCTACAAGGGTATAGGGGAATGAAATCAGCTAAATATAGAAAAACAAAACAATGCTAGATTCAGCTGTATTGATAACCGACATTTTATACATATTGTCACTATTAACTGTGAACACTTTAAAGGTTGCCAACCCCTGGTGTGAGAGATATGGTTATCAAAAGATATCCTGTATAAATACATATTTGAAACTATGTGAGTTTTCCAACTTGTTAAAAAATAGTAATCATACTAATTAAATGTACACAATGTAAACAATTTCTTTATCTTAATAATTATTTAGATGATATATCACAGTATGATCACAATATATTCATGTGTATAAAACAACGCCGAAAAAAACAGAAGATTAGCGTTTCATCTCTTACAATGTGCTGTAAAAATCATAACTTATAATTAGGTCACTGCCTCTTTGCCTGTCCGAAAGCCTTGTCTTAACATTATAATTATCATATAGTCCCGAGGATAAATAACACAATTATCTATACAGGTTATACACTAAGCTAAGTACGTAACATAAATCAAACACGAACTACAAGGTAAATCAAACGTGTCTCTAGTTTAACCGTTTAACCCTTACATCAAATGTAAAACAAAAATTCTAACTTGTAAACTTTTCACATAAATATTATAACTGAGCATTTCTTTAACACCAAACTTAAATAACAAAACAACCAAACGCTAGAACCAAAACCAACACTAATCCTAGATTTAACTTAACTCTTAACTCTGTTCTCTAGGCCAGGGGTCGGCAACCTGCGGCTCTTTTGGTCTCAAGGTGCGGCTCTTCAGCTCGGTGCACAATTATTGATAACGAGCCGGCCCGCGGCATAACATACGCCGCTATTTAGTTGTTTCTAAATTTCAATAATTCATAATTTGTGAATTCGACAGTACCAACGCTGACACTGAAAATATTTCTTTAAAACACTATAAGTAGCTCGTTAAGGACCATAACCCCCCCCCCTTCCTTCCCCCCCCTCCCCCCCCTACGTTTAAAATCGTTGGCTCTGCTTGTAAACATTTAGAGTGAACACAGCTCACTAAAACCATGTAGGGGTGGGGAGGTAGGGAGAGCGTTTGCAGCTTGTTTTCTAACGGCTCGAAGAGGAGAATTATATATATAGATTGTTTTATTTTATTTTTAAAACTCATAAAATTATTAGTCTGCAACACTCGGTAATAAACGATATAATAACAAATAAAAACAATAAACACTCGCTATTCTATTAGAATATTTAGTTACTCCCTATTTCAATGTACTTCCTTGTTTTCTAAAGCTGAGTTATTTAAATGTAAACAATGCCCGTGTTTGGATCATATTTATCGAGGCACTGGTTACCTACACTACCGCCTACCACCGTGGCGTGTTGTTAATCACTCACCGCCTAATTGTCGAGAAGGGAAAGTGACGCTCTCGTGAACCCAATTACACTACCGCAGTGGCGCTGAGTACGTCCCCTAGCTCGGTTTAATCATCTTATGTCGTATTGTAGGGTGCTCCTTAAAACTAAGATAAAAATAAAAGTTATTGTAACAACATGTATTCTTTGTTGTTGTGGGTTTCATACAGGAACACGAGCAACAGTGGCAACTTGAAATGACAACTTTATTTACACTATGTACAGATAAATCCGTGGTACATCCATATTTGAAGATCAACTGATATAGGTACAAATAATAATCACGACTCCAAGTCATGGAGACATCTTACATCCACTGCCATCGTTCCAGTCCCAAAATCCTAGCACACAACACCCGTTCACCTTTTGCTCTCCCTTTTATTCACTCCTTTCTCTCCCCTTACGTACATGAGCGATCTCACCCAAAAACATGGAAAAACACATGACGATCGCTCAACAGTCCTTCCGCTAGCCAGGTACTCTTCATTCATGCAACTTCATGTAAAACACAATAATATAAACATATCTAATTATACAGTCTGTGACACGTCCCCCCTTCAAATAAAATTTTGTGTAACAAAATTTATAAATACAATATTGGTAGGGCAGGACCATGTGCCAGACAACAAAAATTTTTATACATCTCAAAAACATGGAAAATACATTCTTTGTAGATTAATGCACAAGCATTATGTGTAATATATTCAAATATGAGAAGGAAAAACATTTCAATTACCCAGTAATTGTAGTATAAACAAGATCAATGAGTTTAGTAAATTACCAAACTATAATACATAGTTGAAATTATCAAAGACTTGATTCAACTCATAATTTAAATAACTATATCCTATGTGGTAAAAAAAACTTCCTTATCATCAAGGCATGTTATTACGACGCATGATTAATATACTTTGTTGTCTCCCCTAGTTGACCCATTACAGACAAATCTAGGTCACAACACAATCACATTCTTGCCTTACACAGGTATTGACTAATACACAATACATCATTGAGACTTCCGTCTTATTGTTATGCGGAATAAATAGTCTCTAACTTTTATTTATTTACTTTATTCACTGTTAATTAATAGTATAGAATAGGTTTAACATAATACAGTTTACAATCTTTTGAAATAGTACACAATTTATATTACTGATACAAATTGTTTGATATCCATATATTACAGTTACAGACTGTATAATATTAATAAACTGTAAATTGATAATTTATCTTAGCATCCTCTATAGCATGAGTAATCGTTCTCGTGCAGTTGACGATGACCTGTATGCAATCTCTCCCTCAAATTGTAGCTTTTAGCTGTGCTACCATAATCATTTCCTTGATTTCGTTTAACTTCATTTGTTTTAATATTCTCCTCTGGTTTCTGAACAACGTCAGTAGTTATCTTACTTTGTGTACGTTCGTTTGGTTCATCAACCAACTCAATATAAATATTATGGCATTGCTTTGGCCTCTCATAATATGTGTTGCGTCGGTAACTTCCATTAGTATACCTATTCACACTTTTGTTATTCTGATTTGAACTTGATACATTATTTCTTAAATTACTGTATTTCTCACATGACTTTCTGTGTACATAATTGTTTCTTCTCTGATTTGCCAACCTATGCCAACATTGATTTTGGTAATGACCTGTTTTTCCGCAGTAAAAACATCTAGATTTTGGCTTCTTATAAACATGGTGACTGTATTCATAGTTTGCTAAATTTCTTTTTCTTTCATTCTGTGCATTAATGACATTAATGACATTCTTATTAACATGGTGACTGTATTCAAAGTTTGCTACATTTCTTTTACTTTCATTCTGTGCATTTTTATTAACATCGTAGTTTGTAGATATTTTTTCATCTTTCTTAACTTCCTTGTGCTTCTTTATTGATTCTAGTTCACACATAAATTTCTGGGTTAATTTCTCCATTTCTTTGTTAAATTTATCCTTGAGTTCTAGTATATCTTCTTTATAGTTTGACTCCAATTTTCGAAGTAAATCTTCAATAGGTACGTTCTCTTCATTGTGGCTTATTAAGTTCACTGATTCATTAATCATCATTAGTTTATCATGATTCCTGCCATTCTCCGATGGACTTATTAAATCATCACTGCCATTCACTGATGGGCTTATTAAATCATTTTGACTGCCATTCTCTGATGGACTTGTGATACAACTTTCAATAATATTCTCGTGTACCTGCGTATCATTTAATAAAGAGTCAATCTTAAGACATTCTAATGTATCTGTCACCTTTAAATCATTAGTAAGTTCAACCTCTGTTTTTTCCTTGGGTTTCAATTCTTCCTGGACTATGTTACTCTGTTCTTCATTCCAAAGGTTGCCAATATTTACTTCTTCAAGTTCTGCTTTAAATTCTGTCTGTTCACTTTCTAATTTTGGTTCATTTGTGTCTGTTATAGCTTTCATTTCTAATAGTTCTTGTTCATATGCTAGTTCATGTAGGCCAACTTGTTTTTCCATAGTATCAGCCCTTTTATCTGCTCTCTGTTTTCTGTTTCTTTTTTTCCGCTTTCCTTTTGGTTGTACAGTCTCTTCTACTTTATCTAATTCTGAAATGTCTTCTTCTTTATGCATGTCTGTAATAGCTCTTGATCTATTACACACTATTTCTATCATATCATCTAGTTCTCTCAATACATTTCCATGAGCTCGTCGGGGTTGTTCTGGTACTTCGTCCCATGCTTCTTTTGCTTCTTCTATGTCTTTTTCAAGTCGATTGGTTGCCCAGGCTATCTGCTTATTCATCTTCTTAATGCCTTGCGCCCTCGCTAGTGCTAGATATTCTTCAAAACATGACATTTTGATATATTTTCTATGACATAAAATATAAATTCATTAGTTGACAATAGATAAATCGTCCCCTCAGTATTATCTTGTTCTAACTACAAATTTTGATTTTTTCGAAAAACTCGACCCTATGATGTAGAAAAGCACTATGTTCAATCTCCACTTATCTACGTGACTCTAAGTCATCTGCTTCCTACCAAACTTTTCAATTTCACATTGTTCTAACTACAAGTTGATGCATTTGGCCAGTATAATCTTGTTCTATGTCAGTTTTATAATATGATTCTGTTCTAACAGTATATAATCTATATAAAATTAACGCATAAATTTTCATTGGATACGCTAGAATTATAATGTTCTATGTCCGATTCTGCCAATGAAATCAGCTGTTTAAGTCATGTGACTTGTGCGTCGTTGATCAAAATGGCGGCGTGTGAACACCTTTTAGTCGATTTTGGTTGTCATGCAAATAAACTGACTGAATTACCAGATCCTGAATCGTAAGTATATTTATCTTTTATATGTTGTCTTAACTGTGTTATTTTACACATATTTAGTTCAAAGTTTGTTAAAATATCTTAATTAATAATAGGCCTAATATTGTTAATGTATACCGTAGTATACGCCTATACTAATACTAATTGTATTGTTTAGTAGTATAGTAGTTTAATAGTATCTGTAGGGTTTACTTTGTATTTATATTATCAAAATCATAATGAGGAGGTGTTCCAATATATGGATGTAGTACTGATGTAGTCTAGCTTTATTTCTATCCACAGAGAAGTGTGAAAGAGAACAATAAAAACAACAGAGACCTGGTAATGCAGTGTCAATGATATGGGTATTGGCGCTGCCTGTAGTCAAGTTGCGCAGCATCATTATGAGAAAAGAAACAGTGTTTATGTATATTCTCAATATTCAATTACAAGATTGGTTGTTTTTGAATTAGGGAACTGTGTATATTGTGTAAAATTAATACATTATTTTTTAAGCTAATTCCTGAGATTTGCATTTATTGTATTAATACTTTCATTCCAGTTGTATCACAAGGCTGGGGGCGTGGTGTGATCCGCACGTGACGCCATTTAGAGGGCGACACCAATGTGAAAAACACTAAAATTTACAGTCAATATAATTCTTTATCCAGTTAATCTTAAAATAAAATTATAGGGTAGAGGGGTGACACAAAACCAAAAATGTAAAATTGTAAGAGGGTGGAGGGTTGACACCCTCAGTTGCCACACCGAGTGTCACCCTAACTAGACTCGCCACTGACTAAATCAAATTATGTTAATGTATGCAGATAACCCAAAGTTACAGAATAAACTTTACATTTTAATGCACAAACCCACTTATAAAGAACACTTAGAAAAGAAAAGCCTGAAACATCTCCCAGTATACCGGAGTTTACAATTCAGTCGAATAAAGTGGGCTCCCTAAATTCAGCACAAAAGAAGAAAGATTTGAAAAAAATGATGCCCTACATGCCAGAGATTGACAGAAAATTTCTAAATTACAAAGCCTTTAACAGTACGTTTTTAAAGCACTGTCGGCGAGTGTTATTTTTGCTTAAACTGTTTTGATTATAAAAACAAAGTTTATGTATTTTCTCAATATTCATTATTACAAGTTCTTGTTATTTTTTTATTTTTTTTATTTTTTTTTTAAACGGCTCATGGTGTAGAATTAAAACATTAAAATCTATTGAACCTATCTATTGACTTGCGAATTCATTTTATTAATACATTAAATCAAAATTCTGTATGCAAAAGCATACTTACAACTTAAAATATTACTTGTTCTGTAATGTAGTGCAAAAAATATTTTTTGCACATTGCGGTAATCAAAAATATGAAAGTAAAGACCGGAAACAATAGGATAGAAAACCAGAAGACATTGCTCATACAAAAAGTAGATAATACTTCTAGAAAAGCTATTATAACTGCCTAAAAAACACAAAATTTGACTTAGAACATTATACAATTTTTGAAACCTGATCACTTTCATCGTATTTTGTTCTATCTCAAAAGTGAAAAATAATTATTATGGTCTTCTAATGGTACATAAAGTAATAAAAATAACTTGGATGCTCATTGCTTAATGCCCTTTAACATTTTATCTAAAAAAAAATTAATTGGAACAGTTTAAATATAAGAATCAGACCACATGAAACTTCAGATGCGTTTTTCTCAAAACTACATTTTGAGAGATAGAACAAGATAATACTGGGGGGACGAAATGTTAATTAATTTACAATACCCTTTCTTGTATTCTGGCTTTGTTCAGTTGATTAGAGACATCTAGTAATCCAAGAAAAGTTCATAGTACATATATAGTACAAAAATAGTTCACTTTGTTGATTCCAAAAAGTTGAAAAAATTCAAAATAGTTCTAGTAGCCTGTTACAGAGTAGAAATTTGTCCAGTTTTAGATAAGACATCTTTAGGAACAGTTTAGGAACAGTTACAAAAATAAACTTGATCTGCTAAATCCAAACAGTAGAAAAACTTGAACAGCTAATCCATATAGAAAAAACTTGAACAGCTAAATCCAAACAGTAGAAAAGAAACACTAAGACTTGATCGGCTAAATCCAAACAGAAAAAAACACACAGACGATATTTACTCGACATTGGTGAGACAATATCGAATAAGGTGATAAAAATTATCACGTTGATGACTTGACTTGAACAAAACGTCTGACTTGACTACAGCAACCCTTCTGACTTGAATGTAGATAGATGACTTTCAAGAACTTGACGTACTTGGTAAACAGTGGAAGACCACAGACTGTAATATCTCCATTTCTGACATATGTAGCACCAATTCTTCAACCACTTGTGACATCATAAGTAACAGTAATACAATGTAGCAACATCACTTTATTGCCTCCACTTCTGACACCATATGTAACAGTAGACGCCCACTTCTGACACCATATGTAACAACATGTATTCTTTGTTGTTGTGGGTTTCATACAGGAACACGAGCAACAGTGGCAACTTGAAATGACAACTTTATTTACACTATGTACAGATAAATCCGTGGTACATCCATATTTGAAGATCAACTGATATAGGTACAAATAATAATCACGACTCCAAGTCATGGAGACATCTTACATCCACTGCCATCGTTCCAGTCCCAAAATCCTAGCACACAACACCCGTTCACCTTTTGCTCTCCCTTTTATTCACTCCTTTCTCTCCCCTTACGTACATGAGCGATCTCACCCAAAAACATGGAAAAACACATGACGATCGCTCAACAGTCCTTCCGCTAGCCAGGTACTCTTCATTCATGCAACTTCATGTAAAACACAATAATATAAACATATCTAATTATACAGTCTGTGACAGTTATCAAACATTAACGGAATCGCTTCATGATCAACAAAATGTAGCTATTTTAACATGTAATTAGCTCACCTACAATATTTGAAGAGTAAAATCAACAGGTAGAAACTTCAGTGATTAGTTAAAGTTATAAAATTAAAAAAAAAAAAATACCAATCAAATAGAGTTTTACATCAACACATTGCAATAAATACATCTTCTTTCGATGCTCCGACCATTTCTTGTAAGAACTTCTTATAGAGTAAATATCACACGTTGCTTTCCTATAGTCATGTTGTTCTAATTTTAGAATGTACAGTATGTACGTATAGTATTAGCGTGAGTTGTACTACGGCAATGCTGTAAATGGATAGAGTTAATTTTTTTTTTTTAGTTACTTCCCATCTAAATATTTTAAAATACATATGGGAAACCATTTTGAACTATTATATCAAAATTATATAAAATCGAAACCCCAGTTGTAGTAAAACAATTTTGTAAATCCTTGTTCATTTTATTTATTATTATTTTAACAAAATAATATTTAAAATGTAACAAACTTTCTAGTGTTAATAGTTTATTACACTAAGCAAGCCTTTGATATCTAAGTAGTTGGCAGCCAAAATCAACACAAACAAGGTGCCCTGGTCAACTTTAAGAAATTCTGCAAACATCATCTGTTCTTTTTTCTTTGTTTTCATCATCTTCAGGTGGTGGGGGGTCATCCCAATGGAAGGTACACCATTGAATTACCTTCTTTAATATAGCAGCATTAACATTAGGTAGTGGAACAGGTTCATCTTCATCCTCATCCATACCCAAATCTTCTAACATGGTTTTAACAGTGACAGATTGTTTAGCAATCTCCACATTTACTTATTTTACAATTTATATTATATTCAAATGTAACATTACAAATAAAGTGTGATTCAATGACAGAAGGGTATTATTTTTTTCTCTTTTTCAATGTTACATTGTCAGAAAATGTCAATACATGTTGTTTTTTTTTTTTTTTTTTTATTTTTTTTTTTTTTTTTTTTTGGCCTCAGATATGTAATTTACAGCGTCAGTTTGCCTTGTCAATTTCGCTTGAGTATTACAGTTTTCATCATCGGCTTGTGAGGACTGATACAGATTAACATTCTTAATACTTCCTTCTGACTCTCATTCATTTTAGATGGTTTACATAATATAAAACGCCTAATTACAATTTTGTTTTTAAACGTGAAAATGCAAATGTGTAATTAAATGGTGATTCAATGGATTGTTTTTATCGCCATGGTGGTTTTAGGGGGTTTTGGCTTTAAAGTGTAGATGAAAGAAATTTGGGATAATAAACCGGTAGTGATCTCCCCTAAACTTTCTCGAATATTCTTATATAAAACAACAGGGGATGGTAACTGGGGATATAGTTATGATTTTTAATCCATTTTAAATACTTAAACTTTTAAAAATAGAATAGAATCTCATAAAAAAACATTGCGCACCAAGCAAACGCCGAATAAAAACGCGTATAATAGTGCGCAATATTATTAGTACTTTAAAAATTTACATTAGTTTTTTGAGAAATCGGAAGTAGCGTAAATTACTACTTCCAGTCAACGGAAATTACTCAAAATTTAACAGAAGGTAGAGAATTAGATCTTTTACTTACATGTGAAATTTCATTTATCTATCTGAAATAGTACTCAAGTTATAGGCTTTTGAAAAATTCAAAGTAGGAAAAGTACCACTTCCGGTTATCGGAAATCGCTCAAAAGTTGATACGGATCTACGATTTTGATAAAATACTTATATATGAAATTTCATCAACCTAGCTGTAACGGTACTCAAGTTATCGTGTTTACACACGGACAGACACACAGACACACACACACACAGACATACGGACAAGATTGCAAAATTATGTTTTTCCGTATCAGTGAGGTGTAAAACGTCGAGATTTGTAAAAATCTCGATTTTTTTTTTTTGCACGATTACAATACTTTCTCTATACTACGTATATACGAGAAAGTAAAAAACCAAACATTATAAATACTACAGAAGCCGGAATATTTTCAGTACAATCAAACACTTAAAATCAAACATTCTTCATTTTCAAACATATCTATAGCTGTTCTTCCACATGTTTTAATCAATTTATTTTAAATGTATTGATGAAACACAAATACATAAATACGTTTTTTTTGTACCAGCCAACAACCTAGATGCTGCGAGTTGACGCCAAAGTTGAAAGTTAAAAAAAAAAATGTTTACTTTTAAAATGATTTCGATTTGTAAATTTTAAATTACCAGGGGAGACTACACAACAATATACTTAAAAGTCCTTAAAAATATACATTTTATAGATTATACTCAAAGAAACGTGCACAAAATTGTAATTAATATAATTTTTAATGGAATTAACTAAATATAATGATATTTTATAGTAAAACAAGTTTTTAACTTTAAAACAAATAGAATGTTTTCTTAAATAAAAAAATTAAAGCCTATAGTTTTAAAAGGTAAAATAAAATTTATATAAGACAAATTTATATCAAACAAGGTTTGCTCCAACTTATTTTTGGGATTTTAAGTGGATAATAGATTCACCTCAGCAGGTACATCACACAGCACAGGCTTTGACGCTTGGCTTGCCTTAAACCAGGGGTCGGCAACCTTT